TGTGTGTGTGCGTGCCTCACCCAGCAGACAGTGTGTGTGTGTGTGTGCGCGCGCGTGCCTCACCCAGCAGACAGAGTGTGTGTAGTCCAGCTGATCTGTTCTTGCAGATTTTATCGTAGAAACTTTCGGGTCTCCACGTCTCGGTCCAAAACACCACCGAGACGGTCTCGCCGAAATTATAGAGCTGGAGACGAAGCACCACAGAGGTCAAAGGTCAAATAAATAAATAAATACAGGAAATAAAAAAACGTGTTTCTTGTTTTATCGGCAGCTGCTGAACGGTCAGCAGGTCTGAGACGTCCACTGATTTTAACACCAGCTAAAGGCTAAAAGCTAATGAGCGATCATGTTTTACTCAGCCTGTTAGCAAAATATCTTATGACCAAATGTATATATCTCTGATGCATCATCTAAATATTAATCATAAAGACCTTCATTCTTTTTCATATATATTTAATAAAGCTTTGTTTGTTTTTACTTGATGAATATTTAGTAATAAACAGAAGCCTTTGGGGGGGGGGGGGTTCTTGACAGAGACTCCCAGTGGAGGAGAACCCCAAGTCATTAGCATGCCCCGCCCCCTCATTAGCATATTAACCTCCCAGCGGAGCACTTGTTTGTGTGCGCACACAGCTGCGTCCTGCTCTCTGATTGGCTGCTCTGACAGCTCAGTTATTGATGGGGGGGGGGTCACATTGTCACGGTGCGTTCACTGGTTTCACGTTAATTCGGTTTAATAAGCTTCAGGAGCAGCTGGAACATCCCGGCCCTCGGCTCAGACTCCCAGGAGAACGATGACCCGTCACTCCGTTCACCCCGAGTTCTGCCTCTCAGGCGGCAGCCTCTGCCCTGAGTACAGACTCGCAGGCAGTCCGTGAGGTTCAAGGTGAAGTCTTACCTGTAGCCCACAGCAGCCCACGGCGTTCATGATGGAAGCGTTGTGGATGACTTTGTACGGTATCCCAGCATGCGCTGCTCTGAGGACCAGGTCACTGTGGGTGGTGGCTCTGCAGGAAAACGCACAAAACAGATTTTATCATTTCCAACAAAAACAGGATTTATATGAAACTAGAAAACTCTTGAGTTTCATTAAAGCGGCCCGAGCGGTTCTGAGACAAACCGAGTTCACATCGGACCCGGACGCAGCAGAACCCAGACCTGCTGGACCGACAGCGGCACTCGAACACACGACTCACCCGAACGGGTCGCCCACCACCAGGAAGGCCACGTCGGTCTCATCGGCGCCCTTCAGGATCTCATCGGCCCCCTGTTCCACCAGATCCCGATCTGCCAGGATCAACGGCATCCCATAATACTCCTCCTGGACCGGAAACACAGGGAGCGACAGTAAGAGACAGGGGGACAACTGAAAAACTGCTGAGGTTGTTAAAGAAGTCAAAACTAAGTTGGTAAAGCTAAAACTCAAAATAAGAGCTAAAATTAGCAAAAAAACAGTGGCTGAAAGCTAAAAGATTCAAACCGACAACTGATCCGACGGGTCAGGTTACAGTCTGACTACCCAGAATCCTTTGCAGCTTACACAGTTCTTTGGGTCAAAGTTCATGCTCAACAATCCAGGTAACAAATCCAACAAAGTTCAGTCAGGTCATCTGGATGGTTTCTTTTTTTGTTGAGACGTTTCGTCCTTCATCCAAAGGACTTCTTCAGTCCAAGGAGTCACAACAAACTCAGTCCCACAAGCAGCACGCTCCCGTAGTGGACCAACCAGTTTGATGAGATGGTTTCTGGAGTCCGCCCTCTCGCCCATCGACTCCTCTGAGGCAGCCGCAGACAAAGTTCCATCCGTTGGATGAAGGACGAGATGTCTCGACAAAAGAAACCGTCCAGGTGACCTGACTGAACTTTGTTGGAATCTCTCACAGAAAACTTTGAGTCTGAGGGAAAATAAAATAAAATAAATGTTGGCAAATGTTTGCTTTAATCTGGAGCTACACTTTGATGTTTAATTATAAGAACCAGATTAGCAGAACGCTGCGCGCTCGAGCTGCGAAGACTTCTGATGAACCGATCAGTGATCGCCTGCACGCAGGATCAAACAGATTTATTGGTGGGAGGACGACAGGACCAGCAGCTTTTAAAAATAATACATATATAGGATCGCTATTGAAAATTAGCTTCACTGAAGTCATACCTTTTTTTATAATCTAAAAGTCAAATTATTAAATATAAAACTTTTTATCACTTAGTTTAAAAATGGCATAATTAAAATCACAATGTATTAGTAGTGTTGTAATAAAAACAACCATGAATTCACACACACACACCAACACACACACACACACGCACACTTCATCCTGTGAAATGTGACATCAGAGGTAAAGTGTGGCTTTGGACTCTCATTTGCTTAGAACTTAAACCTTTATTTAATACATGTGTAAATGTTATTTTTAGTATATATAAATACAAATGTATTGTTTCTGTTAAAATACTGTCCTCTCACACAGTGATGGCTGAACATGAGCACCAGTGACTCCCATGACCCGGAAAGGGAGAAGCGGGATGGATGGATGGATGGATGATGGATGGATGGATGATGGATGGATGGATGGATGGATGGATGGAACAAATCTGAAAACTGAAATCACTGGACTACTGTGACCTAACTATGTTACTAAATGTAATTATTATATTAAATGTAATTATTGTGTTACTAAATGTAATTATTATATTAAATGTAATTATTGTGTTATTAAATGTAATTATTAAGTTATTAAATGTAATAATTCTGTTAGATTGTATTATTGTGAATTATTACATTATTAAATTACTTATGTTACTAATTTTAATTATTACATTATTAAATGTAATTATGTTATTAAATGTAATTATGTTATTAAATGTAATTATGTTATTAAATGTAATTATTGTGTTACTAAACGTAATCATTATATTAAATGTAATTATTATGTTATTAAATGTAATTATTGCATTATTAAAACTAATAATTCTTACTGCCGCTTTCGATACTGTTGACCACAGTATCCTCATCTCTCGGCTTGAACACTGGGTTGGGATTACAGGTGCTGCATTAGACTGGTTCCGCTCATACCTCTCTGACAGGAGTTTTTGTGTGAAGGTGGGTAAAAATCTATCCACTTCAATGCCTCTTTCCTGCGGTGTCCCGCAGGGCTCGATTCTCGGACCCCTTCTATTTTCACAAACAGATCAGTTCTGCAGAGAAGCTTCTTCCAACTGCGGCAGGTAGCTAAGCTCAAGCCAGTGCTGTCTAGACCCGACCTTGAGACACTAGTCCATGCATTCATCACAACCCGCCTAGACTATTGTAATTCACTGTATGCTGGGGTCAGCCAGGCCTCTATCTCACGGCTACTGCTCGTCCAGAATGCTGCAGCTCGGCTCTTAACCGGTACACCGAGGTATGAGCACATCACACCAGTTCTGTCCTCCCTACACTGGCTTCCTGTGAGAACTAGGATTGATTTCAGAATTCTCCTCCTGACCTATAAGTGCCTAAATGGCCTCGCACCCATCTACCTCTCTGAGCTACTGGAACCATATGTTCCCTCTCGGGCTCTGAGATAATCCGATCAGCTGCTTTTGGTTGTTCCAAAAACACGACTGAAGCTCCGAGGAGATCGGGCGTTTTCAGTCGTGGGTCCCAAACTGTGGAACAACCTACCCCCCAACGTTAGGCATGCCACCTCCCTTCCTGTGTTCAAATCCCTGCTAAAAACATATCTGTTCTCTCTGGCGTTTCATACTGCGTGAGTTGATTTAGTATATCTTGTTCCATGTCTTCATTTTAATGCTGTTGTTTTAATTTTTTAAGGTATATTCTTACTGCTTTTTATTTCTCAGTGTTACCCTTAGTGTTAAGCACTTTGATAACAGTCTATCTGTTTTAAATTGTGCTCTATAAATAAATATGACTTGACTTAAATGTAATTATTAAGTTACTAAATGTAATAATTCTGTGTATTATTGTGAATTATTAAATTACTTATGTTACTAATTTTAATTATTATAGATACATTTAAAAATGTAATTATATTATTAAATGTAATTACGTTATTAAATGTAATTATTACGTTATTAAATGTAATAATTCTGTTACACAGTCTGCACCTTAAGGTGCAGCAGTATGGAGGCAGTGTTTTAATCACATCCCCATTATATCTCTGTGCAGTTAGAAGCCAAACTCAAACTTTATGTTTCATAAACTTTACACGGCAGAAGCACCAAAAGTCATCGCAGCTTCACACGAATGAGTTTTATGGTTTTAATCTTGAAACGTGACGTCAGAGGATGTAAAGTTTGGATATAAAGGCTTTAATGGGACTAGTTCTGTTTCAAAAACCAACAGAAGAACAACAATAAAGAGAAACAGAATCAAGACCCGTCAGATTAAAACTATTAAAATTAACTATTAAAACCACGGATGCATGTCGCCCGCCACCTTTCATGTCAAGAAGTTTAGACTGATCTGAAGCTGACAAATTAGTTTGAGCTGTTTTGGTCATGAAAAGTTAGCAGTAATCTGTCTGCTCTCAAAACACGTGTTAGGGGTGACCTTCAGCTACTACCACAAAGTTGACATCTTTCAGTTTGCCGTGTTTCTGTCTGCCTGTCTTATTAAGCGTGCCGTCAGGGAGTGATAGACCCGGACCTGGTCACCATGGTGACCCAAACATTTCTTTGCACGTTGTTTCCTTTCATTATATTTCTGCCCCTGGTTCTGGCGGTTCTGGCGGCTCGGCTCGGACTCACCAGCGCCTCTTTGCCCACGGTGAGGATGGAGGTGTAGGCCTCCAGGTAGACCCGGGAGCAGCGCCTCAGCGCCTGCAGACCCTTCACCGTGATGTCGGCGGCGTCTCCGAGGCCCAGGCCGATCAGGTACAGCATCGTGTCGGCCTCGGAGTCTCAGCTGCGGCGCTAAACTTCTCCACACGACGTGAAAACGACCCGAAACTTGGAGGTTTTTCTCGCATTCACGTGGAGCTCCACGACGGAGCGGAACACGGTTTGCTGTAAAGTGTTTACAATCACGACAGTTGCGGCCGCTTTACGGTTTCTCCCAACGTGGAGACGTAAAAACCAAACTCCGGTGACGAAGCTGCACATTTAAAACATTTAAGGACTGATGGCAACGTTTTGCGTCAGTAAAATCAAACTGTACAAAGTTCTGTAGAGATTGTTTGTTTTATCGGAAATAAAATTATGAAATGAACCGTAAAAATCTCCGTTTCACAATCTAAATTTAGATTATTAAAGCTTCCTGCTTGCAACTATCAGGCTAAAGTCAACCAACAGTGTTTGCTCAATGAAATTTAAATATACCGAATTATAACTTAAAAATCATGCTTTAAATGTATTTATCAAACCCACTGTTAATAACTGAATTAAAACAGGACATTTTTAATCATTTGTAGCTACACATTTTTTAAGTAAAACTGAATTAGTTGGATGTTTTGGGTCCAAACCGGTCTCAGATTCTTCTTGCATCAAAAAGAAAGTTGTTAAATGTAAAACGGAACCTTTTAAAAGTGTTAAAGCAGACGTTTAAACAAATAGCACATATAATTCATGTTTCCAAAAACTGACATTATCCAAGACCAGAATCCAAGTTAAACAGAACATTGACTGTTTTTTTGTTTTCAAACCAAATATCACTTGTTTCAGTTTCAACTTTCCAGTTTTCTAAGTTCTCCGGGGTCTCTCTCGAGGTCTGATGTCCTGAACACCGCCGCCTCAAGTTTTCGAGGAGGAGGAGCAGCGACTGCACTCAGCTCAAACGGTTTCCCTTCATGAAGTGTCTCGTGTGTTGGTGGAGAGTTTGGACACCCCATGGTGCCCGTAGCGGTGTTCTCCAGGACAGTTTGACCCTTGCTGGGTCTGCAATGGTAAAATCAATCACATTTACGACCACTAGAAGACTGAGGGAGCACAGAACCCCCCGACTCAGAGCGGTCTTTCCATCCCATCCACTTCTGGCTCAGTTGTTTGGACCTTTTCAGCTGAGGTTCTGAGTTGAACCGAGATGAAGGTCCGGCATCAGCAGACTGCAGGACACTGACTGGTCAGAGGAAGACGTCATTCATGAGAGCGTCTCCTTCCCTATAGTCAAAACCCGCCATTTTTAAAACCTCACAACTGCAGCGTTTGTTTTTGAAAAAAGTATACATCTATTAAAATGACAACCTGTCAACCAGCACCATGGTCCTGAGGTGTAGATGTTTCTGTGGTTGTTGACGGACACCAGGACTTGGACGGACACCAAATGGACTTGATTTTGGGGAGTGGTGGCGCAGAGGTTAGAGAAGGTGGGCCTGTGATCGGAAGATCACCGGTTCAAGCCCCAGTACCGACAACATCAAAAATGTGGGTGGGGTAGGTGAAGCACCCACACCTGCCCCCACCCTCATTCACCCCACCCTGGGCCCATGAGCAAGGCCCTTAACCTCTATCTGCTCCCTAGACAGGTTTCTCTTGAAAACGAGTTCTCGTGGCTCAATGAGACTACCTGGATACATAAAGGGTAAATAAATAAATAAAAAATGTATGAGCTCCAACCAGCGGAGGGAAGGTGGCCTCGACTCTGCAAGTTTGTCTTTATTTCGCCCATTTAGTAAGTTTTGGGTGGCCGGGCTGTGATGACCTGCCCACATCAAGGCAGGAACTCAGGTTCTCAAACTATCTCTCAGATTGGAGGCGATGTGTTCAACATAATGGTACTTCCTCCAGTTATTTAACAGTCAACAATGGTGTACCACAAGGCTCAGTCTTAGGGCCCACCCGCTTTACAATCTACATACATAATGTAGGTAAAAACATTCCTGATGCATCCATACATTTCTATGCTGATGACACAGTTGTTTATTGTCGAGCTACAACAGTTGAAAAGGCTTTCCAGCTTTTGAAATCTGCATTCAACATCATCCAGACAGATTTGTTTCACCTCAAACTTGTCCTAAATGCCGACAAAACCAAAGGGATGCTTTTTTCAAACAGGAAGTTGGTCCCAGCAGTTCTTCCTCCGATTTTATCCTCAAATGGTGTCCCCATTGAGTTTGTTGATTCCTATAGATATTTGGGTATCTTGGTCGACTCACATCTCTCTTTTAAGCTCCATGTGGAAAACTTGGTAAAGAAACTGAAAGTTAAACTGGGTTTCTTTTTTAGAAACAGATCCTGTCTAACTCTGAACGCTAGAAAACACCTTGTATCTGTGACTTTCCTTCCCTCCATTGATTACGGTGACATTATTTACATGAACGCTCCTACAAGAACCCTGCAGATGTTGGATGCTGCAGATGTTGGATGCTGTCTATCATGGTGCACTAAGATTCATAACTGGCTGTGATTATCGTACCCACCATTGCACCCAGTATTCACTGAACTGGTCACCATTAACTTCACGCAGACTCTCTCACTGGTACATTTCCATCTTTAAATCACTTCCTGGTCTGCTGCCTTCATACATCTCCTCCTACATGTCTCTGTGTGAGTGCAGCTACAGCGTGCGCTCTCAGGACATCATTACCTGCAGTGTTCCCTCAGTGAGGACTGAACTGGAATGGTCCAGAGAGTGATGTGAAAAATGCCAAGTCAATGTGTACATTTAAGAAAAAGATCAAAGCTGAATTGTTAAAAAAGTATATATGAAGTAGAATAGTGTGTGTTTTTGTATTAGAATTAGAAAAATTAGAAAGTTATTCATTTTGTTCTGTTACTTGAAAATTATTATGAATGAAATAATTGTTTGAAAAAAGGGGCAGATATAATAAGATTTTTTCTTCTTTCTGCTGCCTTTCATTTTAAATCTTTCGTATCTTTTTTATACTGTTATGGAATTGTTTTGTACTTTTTTTAAATGAATAAACTTTATACCATACCATAACTAGACAAAAGGGCCTTCTCCTACTCCGCTCCTGTTTCCTGGAATATCTTACAAAAACAATTGAAGCTCTCGACCTTTGACCTCTCTAAGTGTCTTTAAGAATCTGTTGGACTCCCGGCAGGGACCAATGCAGACATGTTCCTGTTTTTAGTTTCTACATTCGCCTTCGAATCCAGCTGTTTTTGTTACTTTTCTTTTTTTAGCCATCCTATTTGTTAAAAAAAAATCTTTATGACTTTTTATAACCGTCCGTTGTTGTCATCATTCTTTGTTGGAATCAGGTCTCTCTTGTGAATGAGTCCTCGAGACTCAATGGGATTTACCTGAATGAAAAACATATATAGAGAACTACCGAGATCACTTGGGGGCGATTCGAGTCTTGCTGAGACTTGACGATGGAAAAACGACCCGTGACTATCGGGCCCTGACCCTGGACTGGAGCCAAGCTTTGGAGACCGTAAGGCACTGGTTCCCAAACTGTTGACCACATACCTGTGGTAGATACTTGTGACCCAAAACGTTTTTTATTGAACTATTCGGGCCAATTAAACACGATCATAATGACACCATAAATCATATAAACAAGCGACTTCTATCCTTATGCATCTCTTGGAACATTAACAGTAAAAATATATAAGGAGTCATTGAAAATTTTAATTTATTATCAATAGATCATCTCAGCACCCCAAAGTTGATGCTTCAGGACCCACAATGGGGTCCCAACCCATATTGTGGGAACCACTGCTGTTAGGGACTAATGCATTGTGGGTTGGATGACAACCAAAGGCCTTGGTGGTCCAATCCCTGGTGGCTGAATCTGGCTTTAGGGTCATGGCAAAATGTTCCTTGAAGAAATAAATAAAGAGGGTTCTTCCTGTGGACCCTGTACCGGTCCGTTGTGGTGAAGAGGGAGCTGAGCTGTAAGGCAAAGCTCTCTGATTACCGTTTGTCTATGTTCCTCCCCTCACCTCTGGTCATGAACTCTGGGTAGAGACTGAAAGAATGAGATCGTGGATCCAGGAGGTTGAAATGTTTCCTCTGCAGAGCTGGACTCTCCCTCAGAGACAGGGCGAGAAGTTCAGTTATCAGGAGAGACTCAGAGTAGAACTGCTGCTCCTCCACATCCAGAGGTGCCAGTTGAGGTGGTTCAGCATCTGGTAAGGATGGACCATGGACACCTACCTAGAGGTGCTTTGGGCATGTCCGACTGGGAGCAGACCCCGGGGAAGACCCAGGACATGCTGGACAGACTGTCTCTCGGTTGATGGGAACACCTTGGAGTCCTCCCAGAAGAGCTGTGGAGAGAGATGTCTGGACCTCCCTGCTCAAGATGCTGCCCCCGAGACCTGAGTCCAGAACAAGAGGAAGATGATGGATGGATGGTTCTTCTTCTTTTCAGCATTGATACCTTCAAACAGAACCTCAGCTCCTGATTGGTCGACCCAAACCGTTGTGTTGAAGCTCCAGTTTTTTAAATTTGATAAAACTTTCCTTTTTTTTTTTTTGTAGATTTCCAACATCCTGTGGTGATTCTCGGCATCTTTTACATAAATTTATCAGATTCTTTTAATAAAAGTGAAGACAGTAAACTTCATGCTTGTAGTTTGACATGACACAGTTGGACCTCCGTCGCTGAATCCGTCCACATTTTAATAATCGCACAACTTTTAAATCTCCTCTTTCCCTCATTTTGTGGATTAAAGTTTAACTCTGTGTTTTCTTTCATTTCTGCAGAACAAAACCTTTTTGGGAGCAGGGTCCTGATCCTCCTGGTGCTTTCTGTCACATGTTGGGGGTTCAGGTGTCGTATAAACATAATGAGTTCTCTCTGCTGCTCCTGGTCCACCAGTCGTCTCCATGGCGACGGCGGTCGGCGCCACAGCGTGTGAAAGTCGTTGTGAATGAGTCGGTGGGAAAAGCTGCGTCTCCCTGCAGCCCCGTTTCTCCTTGTTGTGGTAAACAAGCCTCGGGACCACGTGACCCCCTCCACCGCTTCAACTGGGAACCAGTTAATGACCGGGATGGTTGGCGGGGCGGAGGATTGTGGGTCTTTTGTTGCAGTTCCAGGGTTTGTTTGGCTCCAGTCATTCAGAGAATCGTCGCTCCGGTTCTGT